AGACCTCAGGAGAAAAACAAAACAAACAAGCCCCAATTTGTGGTGTTTGCCCATTTGTGTGGTGTAAATACTTTCCTCATACCCAATTTCAAGCTACTAATACTTTAACAACCAGTTTTCTAAATTCCTGGCCATTTAATCATCATCTTTTGCAAGCTGGTATAATCTGTGGTATAACAAACCACTGCTAGTACCCTAGTTTCTGGTACACTTTTCTTTTCCTTCAGCTCTCTCATCCTCACCATACAACTATCCTTCCTCTTGTATGTAATAACAACACGCAGCTGATGACATTTCTACTCGTTTCTAGTCTATCAGTCTCTTTATTTCCTTCTTTCTCTATCCTGGATTCACCAGTTGCTTACCTGAAAGATTCTTTTTCCACCACTCCAATTCTCCTTTAATACCGGTGTTTCTGTTGTACTTGCTCTACACACAACACTACCCCCCACCCCCCAACTTTGGTCTGATCAGCCACTTTTCCTTTTAACTTCAGCAATTATTTTAAACATTGACTTTAAATTAAGGTTTGTTCTCAAACTCCCAAATAAACTCTCCTACTTCATATAGAAATGCAACAATATCAGGTATCATTTCCTTCAATTTAATGCTTCTCATAAATCTCTCTAGGTCCACAACACACAACCCCATGAGTCTTGGAAGATGTGGAGGCTTCTACTATTCAAAGCCAATCCTCTACCAAGGTCCTTGATTTTGTACTTTCTCATATCCTGAGATATTTTGCCTTGCCAATGTATGTTCTTTAATTCCCTATCCCCCAGTGTACAAATTCTCTAAATTTCTTTCTATTAAAAAATACCCTTTGCTTTTCTTTTTGTCTACTAGCATTTGATTTACCTCTTGTCTTGCTACCTCAGCTACTGTTTACCTAAACAATGGTCTCCATTACCAACTCCTATTTATCTTTCAATCTCATTTTGCCCTATACATTCTGTCTGGGATCAACCCATTAAACATGCGCTTGTTGAGATCACTGAGGACTTAAGTAGTAAATCCCATAGATGCTTTCCAGTTTTTGTTTTCCTGACTTTCTCTGCTGCACTGGCGACAACTGCTTATTTGCTCTTGCCTGATGTGTAGGACTCCATGTCCTCATCTTCCTCCTTGTTCTTTTTTGACCACTTATTCTTAGTTACCTTTGGAGACTCCACCCAGCAACTTCCTCTGAGTGGCACATCACGGAGTTCCAACCTTGTTCAACTCCTTGCCTTTCTCTAAACTTCTTCCTAAAAAATATCATGGTTTGGGTTTTATAACCACTTTTATGCTAATGACTGCCAGATCTTTAACTTTGGTCAAGATTTTTCTCCTGAGCTTCAGATTTATATTTCTTATTGCTGTCTGGACATTTTCACTGCATGCTCCATAGACCTCTCAAATGGAATATGACCCAAATGAAATTCATCATCTCCCAACTACCAGCCCATCCTGTTCCTATGCTGTATCTTCCTATCAGTTGGTAGCACTACCTTCCACACATTCTTTTTGTTCCTAAGCATCCTTTCCTGACCACGTTTTGAAATATGGTTTCCCTATTCAATCTGATCCTGTCAGCTTCTGTTTTTAGTAATTCTCCCCCAACCTTTTGTTTTTTTTCTGTTGTTATATGGATGACACTCCCTCTTGCTTGCTCATGTGACTGTGCTTTGCAAATAATGTATCTGTAACATCAAACGAGTTGAGGTGGCAGCAAGAGGCTGTAGCAAGAACACAATAACATATTAAACTGAAACCAGTGGTATTATTTTTTTGAATAACTGAATTTTGTGATTTGATAACATTTTTGTGGTTGGCATGTGGTATCTCAAGGTTTTAAAGTATTTTATAACTATTATTATTTGGATTGCTAATTAATATTGTTATAAAAATGTAAGTCCAAAAATTTAGGGGGAAAGCAGTTGCCAGGTTAAGTGTCACAAAAAGCGTTTATGAAATCCATATACATAGTTCAAGAGAGATTGTATAGGGATGATGGTCAAGATTACACTTAATTCACACTAGTGTATTTCCTTAGAAAAGTTAGGAAAATTTGCACATCAGTAAGGTCATACATTCTGAGCAACAGGGCTGATGCTCTCCTTACTAAGTCAGAATGCATTTTTTTTTTAAATTGAAAACACACACACAGTCACATACCTACGTATATCCCATCTGCGTGTGCACATGCACACACGCGCACATACACAAACACAGGCACTTAACCACACCACCTCTTGCCAATATGTATCTGGAGGAATGTCCATAAGGATCCTGAACAACAGAAGATTTATGAATCCAGTGCAATATCACAGCCAGCCAGCTACCACCACTGTCACTAGATTGTAATTTTGTACTTAGTTTTGCTACCACTGTTTCATATAAAAGTAAATTGAAGTGATTTTCAAATATGTGGGAGACCAAAGGGAAATCTTTTCTGCTTCTAGCAAGCACAGAATGCTATTAATGAGCCATGGATGACTTCCCTACAATGCAATGTACTTAGCCACTTCCTCTTTCTGTGCTCACAGAAGCTGCGATTATCAAATTCTAAAGCAGTAGTTTGAAAAATGACTTCGTTTTTGAGAATTTGTGGGAGATGTGTGTATATATATATATATATATATATATATATATATATATATGCCTGCCATGGGGAGTTGAGCATCTGCTATTGACATAAAGTTTATATACCACTTTGAGCTTCTGGGATAAAAGAGATATGATTACAAAGAAGGGTAAGAATATTAAAGAAGAGTAAGAAGGGAGTATTTGGCCGTGTTTTTTTTTTTTCTTTCTCATGCATGCGATTTTTATCTTAATAGAAATTCTATGTGCAGACAGGAGACAAGTTCACATGGGATATGGCAGTGAACTTATAAAAAGAATAAGTAATTTTATTTAAAAAAGTGTATGAGAACATGGCTTTTTGAGTCAGAGACTTGAGTTTGAATGATCACTCTACCACTTAGTGTGTTATGTATTATTTTATAAGCTTTAAAATAATCAACTCAATGACACGTGTATGAGGTAGATGCTGTTAATATTCCCATTTTATAGATAAGTAAGCAGAGGCACAGAGAAGTTAGTAACTTTCCCAAGTCACAAGGTCACATAGCTGGGAGGGATAGAACCAAGATGATCTGGCATATATTGACATTCAGATTCTTACAGCAGTGGTAATGATAGCCACCATTAACTGAACATCTATTCTTTCCCAGACTGTGTGGCATCTTACCTATATAATGTACAAAGGTCAAAAAATATTAGTTTTTAAATTTTAAATCATGAAATATACCACTTATAAACAGGTATCAAGATGCTTCTACATAAATATTTTATTGATAAGCTATTATATTTTCTTTATAATATATTGTAATTAATTCATGATTCAGCAGGATAAAAAGGATATCTGAAGCTAAGAATTCTTTCCTAATTTGCTGTGGCAGTCATTTGATCCCATTTTCAAGAGCAATTTAGATTGAGTATGTGCTGCATTTATTTGCCATTATATTCAGCTCTAGGATATAGTTGATGCAAAAAAAAAAATCCATAACTTATCCCAAGCATCATTAGAGAATAAGTCATGTTGGTATATGTCTGATAAGAATGAGTTTTTGAATAAACATAATGGAAGGTCCTAACTATATATGCATTTCAAAGTACCATAGGTGGTCCTGATAATTTATTCTAAAATAATTTAGCACATTTACAGGAGAAATGAATACAAGTTATAAAATAACATCCTGAGAATGGCTACAGAAAAAATAAAAACAAATAGTTCATGTCCCCAAACACCTATGAATTTCATTTTGCTTTAAATAGCATTCTTGGTTGAGAGACTGCATTGTGTGAGGAGTATTGCTCTGTAATAACTTGACGATTTTGCTGAATTCAGCTTCTGGCATTGAATCTGGGCATCAAGTCCAGTCACAGGGTAAATATATCATTACTGCTAATATTGAGAGAAGTCAGAAAAAGAGGGCATGAACTCAAGAAAAATAAATGAAAATGAGATTTAAAAAAAGAAAGGTAAGACGCAGAACTTAACCAAATAACATAGAACAAAAAATTAAATGAAGAAAGAATGCTTGAGACTGTTTTTATCCTATGAAAATGAAGATAAAAAGTAATATAATATATTCTAAATAGCAAAAGTCCAGTCATGTTATAAGTAAGAAAATGGCCATATCTCTGCAGATAGATGAATATTTGAGAATACAATGACATTCAAATATGTGACCTCTGCTGGGGATGAAAAATATTTACTGTAGTAATTATTTTTTGTATTCTGTTTTTTTTTTTTTTTACTATCAGTGAGTATTTTTTGTAGCATATGATGGCTTTTTAAATATTAAAGACATTATAAATACATTTGAAATATAACTTCAAGATTGCTCTGTTATTCTCTACTACTATGTGAGACAAATGATTTTTGTATACACCATACTTTCAAGGATAAGTCATTTTAAAAAGAATGCTTTAAAATTTTTTGTTCTGAAAAAAATATCTGCTAGGGTTTTTTCTTTTTTCTTTTGTTTTCTGAAAGTCAGGCAAACAAACTTAAGAGTGATAAAACCAGTTTTCTGATATGAACTTGAATCATTATTCGTAAATATACATCAATTTAAGGGGCTCAGCATTATAGATCATGCATAAAACATCATGCTGAATAGTTAAATGTGATAAAACAAAATGAATGTTTATGTGAGACAACTGAGTTTCATTTAATCTCTTTATAACATCATTTGGAAATATATATATATTAATAAGGCATGTGAATTTATAGGAGAAATCAATTATATTATTATATGTATATACTCCTCCCATTGGTAACACACTAATGTATCACAGTATCGGAGAAATGCACCCTAGAGAAAATGTTGCTATTCTTCATGGAAAAATCCATGAATAACATTATGTAAAAATTAATTTATGATAAATGATTTAAATCTAGAACTCAGAATATCTTATTTAAATGCCATCAGAAAAGAACACCTCACCCGTAAAAAGGAGTCTAGGGATCCATTCTCCATATATTCCACCACAATCATTACTGGTCTGCCTGCAAAAAGAGCAAAAGAACACACAAGGATTAGAGCAATTACGGAAATATGTGCTGCAGTAAGAGATTTCCAGCTGTGGCAGCTAAATCATTTGTATTTTATTAATAGAAACTTCATTTGCCAACGTGCTTCTACAAAAGTCTCCCTATTACACGTAGGCATCTCCCCTTTTTTTATGGCATCATTTCTGTTGAGTTCATATAAGGAATACAAATTACAAAGGAATTAAGCATTTCCTTTTCTGAAGCCCTGCAATCACTTGTTTATATTATGTTCTTTTTGTCCTGAGCTTTTCCTAAAAGATCATGAACAAGCTGAAGGCAGGGTTTAAGCAGTCCCTGTAGCTGCCCTGGCACTTGCAGAACACCTTGTCCTATAGTGGTGCAGTCACTGTGGCTGAATTACATTAGACTGGGCATTTCTGAAATATTCCTAAGGCAAAGAGGAAAGGAGAAATTCATAAATTCTCTTTAAGAAATTATAAACCATTAGTCATAGTCTGCTTTTAAGGACTTTTAAGTAGAAAAATGTCAGTAGAGGGGCGCCTGGGTGGCGCAGTCGGTTAAGCGTCCGACTTCAGCCAGGTCACGATCTCGCGGTCCGTGAGTTCGAGCCCCGCATCAGGCTCTGGGCTGATGGCTCAGAGCCTGGAGCCTGTTTCACACTCTGTGTCTCCCTCTCTCTCTGCCCCTCCCCCGTTCATGCTCTGTCTCTCTCTGTCCCAAAAATAAATAAACGTTGGAAAAAAAAAAATTAAAAAAAAAAAAAAAAAAAAAAAAAAAAAAAAAAAAAAGAAAAATGTCAGTAGATTGATGAATGCTACCAAGCTGGTGGGCTTTGCAATAGTTCTTGATCATGTCTTTATTGGACATAGATTAGATCAACAAAACATTGATGGCAGTGCATGAAAATAAGTAGCTCTGATTTTGTAGTCTAGTAACAGAAGCTAAAATCAGAAACTGAACATCATTTATTTCTTCTTTATCATATCTATTTGCAATTGCTACAGTTCCCAATACCTCTATTAGGTAGAATATTTGACATAAATAACTTAGATTTGTTTCAAAGAAAATAATGTATTTGTTCTGCCAAATTGCTCAAGTTTAAAAGATAAACTAATTTCAGATGAAGAGAAAATATTTACCCGAAATAAACATATATGACATACTTATTTTTTACTTCTATATTCCTTGCTTCTCATTGAAATTTTTAGCAATTGAATCTGCACTGTGCACATTTTTTCCTCGTAAGTACAAAGAAGATCTGGAAAGAAATTATGTGTACCAATGATGGAAATATTAGACCTCATATTGTAATTCATGTCTCTGTTATGAACTCAAAGCCTTGTGGGTTAAAAAGGGTGACTGTAACAAATTAGTACAATGTCTGCAAATGCTAGATTTTACATTTGAATCTATATTTTAAAGAAAGATGTGCTAAAGGTTAAATGTAGTAATAAAGCTCCCAATTTATCATGCATAGTATTAGAATCCAAAGAAATTTCCCATTTTGGTGGATTTCCATAATGTTCCTCAAAGTCATTACTTTCACCCAAACACAGATATAGAACTTTATCAGAAAATCCTGAGGTCAAATGAACTGTCAGCACTACTGTAGCAAGGAACTAGAAGATCCAGATTTTAAATCTGACACTTTGTCATGAAATCTTTTATTTGGCCATTGGTTTCAGAGAGCTTGGAAACAGGAGCTGGATGCAAACACTTGGTTAGCAAGGTAGGGAAAATAAAAGATCATTTTTTATACTTATATATGGAAATTCTGAGACCGGTATTCCAGTTTCAATTGTAATGGATCATGGATGTTAAGGGGAAATGCTGGGTTACTACAGTGACTGCCTGAGTTCACCTACCCAGAGTTAACCTTTTCAATCTACCTTGACCATGCTGCCAGAGAAACATATATATACCTCTCCCTAAGAATGTCAGTTTTGATACAAAAGAGCTTGCAAGCACTTTGCTTGTATTAATACAAATTATTATTAGCCTTATTACACAGATAAGGAAATTGAGATAGAAAATTAAAGCACTTGCCCATCAAAGAGCTAAGTGGCAGTGTCGAGTAGTCTGTCTCAGAGTTTAAGCTCTTAACTTTTATGCCGTAGGTGCCTCTCAGACATAATTTATAGATCAAAGCCGTAAGGCTTATCCTCCTTTGCTGGACCTCATCTCTCCTAACTAGCTCTGTCCTCTCCTGCTCCATTTGTTGTTATTATCATCTATACTGGTTCAATCCTGCCTCCTCTCCTTTCCCTTTTGGTATTCCCCTGCCAGGATTATTTCCCAATTTGCTTCTCCCTGATCTCACCTCACACCTCTTCCGTGAAAGTCCCCATGGTGATATTTCCTCTAGTGGCATTCCCATCACATCTATTGTCTGCACTATGAAATGTGCAATGTGAAACTATGAATGTGAAATGTTCTATATTAGGTTGTTTTTCTCTCTTATTTTCCCATAGATGCTATGTCTCCCCCCATTCATTAGGTTTCTCAAAGCTACCTCCCGTAAGGCTGAGCAGAGTAGGTGCTTTATAGTAACGAGTTGATTTTTCTCAATGACTTCGTAATTCCTCAGAGAGTAACACTGAAGTATTTCAGCAAGATTCTAATCTATGTGAATACCAAGTACTTTGAAATTAGTTCTATCTATAACTCCTTGGGAGACACTTTATACAATCTTAAAATTCATTAGTGACAAGTTTCATCTTCTCATTAAAGATAATAAAGAGTCAAATGAAGACTCCCCTGGTTTCCTGTGAATTATAAGCTTCCCACCTGAGCTCTGCATCTTTTGTATTTTGTGCAGTAATGCCAATTTAGAGCTGCTATTATTAAACTAAGGAGTTGTTTTATTAGAATACTGCTGGAATCTAACCTGTTATTTGTTTCCTAGTGATTTTCTATAGGAGGGTTAGTTACACTGTGAAGATTACAAGCAACTTTATAGTCTATGATTACATTTTATAATCAACAAAATAGATAAGTATAGGGAAATTATGAAAGGATGGTATTCAAATATGTGGCTAGGTGAGAGAATCCTATTGGCAACAGTGCTTTGTCTGTTATATTTTTAAATATGTAAAAATTATACAATACATTATTGCTCTTGGAAAATATATTTGGAGGTGATTCTATTTTTATAGTTTCAAAACATTTCAGCTTTTCTCACCTGTTTTCCAATTTTGGCCACTTCCCCAAGTGCCTCATGTTACAGAATAAACTTACTATTTGCTTTGTACTGAAGTCAATGGACAAACTCCAGGATTCTTGAATGTTAGTCAAGTCTCAACATCTCTAGACTTTTTTTTAGAAGTCTCAATGGCTTGCTTTAAGAAATTTTCAAAAACACTTCTTGAAGTCACACAAAAAAGTTAATTTCTTTCATTTTCCTTCAAAAAGTAGCCCAGAAATGTTTATTGGTATGTTAAATTACATTGAAATCAAAACCCTGTAAGAAATCACTTATATCCTGAACACAATGAATCACAAAATCCCAGATCATCTTTTTCTGTTTTAGACAAAAATTACTTCCTTTAACTGGGACTTTAATGTACTATTGACTAGTGATTTTTTTTCAAATTTACAGTTTCCTAATACTTAAGATGATTTTGATATGGGTGGTGTTGAGAAACCATATGGTGATAAGAGTATATTTTTCTTGTGCTGTTGTTAAAGAAAACAAAATAAAGGAATTCTTTAAATGTTCTAGGGAAAACATTTTGCAAGTGAAATAGTGTTGTTTGTTTGTTTATTTGTTTGCCTCAAGAAGGTATGTGAAAGAAGGGGATTACAGGGATTTAACATTTTCATATAAGCAATGAGTTTGTACTGGATGTAGAATTTTGTATCAGCTTGGCCATTTCTAATATGATGTCAGTAATATCAAGAATCTAAAGAAATCACAATGACCCCCAAACTCTATTGTATATTTAAAACAATTTTAGTTTATTTAACATTATATCATGTCTATATTTTATCTACCACATAATAAAGTTTGTGGTGATAATTTGGATTGACAGTTACATTGCCTGTATTTATCCCCTCCCCAGGTGCAATTCAGGACTTTGGAGCCAGTTACTTAATCTATTTCTACCTCCCCTGTTTCTGCTGTAGAGATAGTGAATTATAATGATCTCAAATGGATTTGATAATAAATACTTTTCTTATCCCTCTAAGGCATTCAAAAGATATGGATTTGAATAAATTTGAACAAAGTTATAATATATTAAATAATTATTTTTATTCACCAGATAAGTACTAAAATTGGGGAATTATTTTTCCCTTATACTGTTGACTGGTGATTATCATATCATGTCCCATGTGAATCTTAACTTTAAGGGATTCAAATAAAATCTTAACATTTCCCCTGAACCTGCTTTCCCTCCTATATTCCTGTTGGGGTTAAAACATCACCATCTACTTAGTTACCCAGGCTTGAAATCCCATTTTAATATTGGACTTTTCACTTTATCAAACCCCTGTCCATGAGTTACTAAGTTGTGCTGATTCTATATAAAATCTAATATCACTGCCCATATTCTGCCTTTATTTTCTCTTGCTTCACTTATTACAATAATCATTTGCTGGTTGTACTTGTTAATACTTATATAATCACTGTTTCAAAGAATGATCCAACTTTTTTTTTTTTTTAGCGCCTACTATATATATACTATATATATAAGAGTACTAGTATAAGTACTCTTCTAGTTTCTGAAGAAACACAATCAATACAAGGTCCTTGCTCTCATGGAGTGTATAGTGAAAAGGAGAACAGAAATAGGTAAACAGTCAATTACTATAAAGGGCTAATGTTTCATACCCTCCTTTAAGAACTTGCTTTACTTATTGTCTTGTTTGCTGCAGAATTAAAATCTACACTGCTTGGCAATAAATTCCTTCACAATCTCTTCTCTGCCTTTGTTCTAGTGTCATCTTTTACCTCCCACTAGTTCCCTAACTCCTGTTTTTCAAATTATCTAGGG